AATATGGAGGTTATTTTTCATGCCCAAACTGGTCAGTGTGGGTCAGTTGGTCGAGCATCATCCCATGCACCGCGAAAGGTCGGCAATTGGATTCCCAGTAAGAGCACATGCCCAGGTTTGGGGCTCAGAGTGATCTGGGAGGCCGCCAATCAATGTTTCTCTCTCACATAGATGTTTCTCTCTCTCTCTCCCCTCTACTTTTGCTCTTAAAAATACATATATTTAAATCAAAACAATTTAACATTATTTAAAGAAACATGAATAATAATATACCAGCATAAAAATAAACAGTGTGAGGAAAGAAGAATCCCTCTCCTGCTTATTTCAACCCTTTGCGTTTCGCCCACTACAACAAATAATGAATATTTAGGTTAATGATGTTCTCTGAGATAGTGTGAAATGCTATTTTGATCACTTCTCAAATCATGCCACTGCTTTCCTTGGAAATTTCTCTAAGCTCAATCTACTGAAATGTGTATAAACTTGGACTTCAAATAAAAATATTAATAGAGCAAATGCAAACCATATTTTCTTACTCTGTATTTTACTTAGCATTAATAAATGCTAGAAAAAATATCTAAGCTATCTTAATGAGGATCCATGAGTGATAACTCAGAACCTTTCCTTCCAAAATCTAGTTTTGCCTGACTCCCTACCCCACCAACAAAAGTATGCCTGGGCATCTTCTTGTACAGATGCTGGAAAGGCTGAGTGGTGGTCTTTGAGCCTGATGTCATGTAAATTACATGGGCTATGTGAGGAGACAGGAGAAAGGTGACAGAGCAAGCAGAAAGTTTAAGAGGCTACTTGCCACCTTGCAGAGGTGACGGCTACCTAAATTTTTCCATTGCCAAGAGACCAGAATCATAGTTTTAGAAATGGAAGACATCTATAAGATCCTGTTCATTGCTTTGACTTATAGGAAAATAGGCTTTAGGGAGGTTTAGTGACTTACTCAAGTTCATATATCTGGTTGACAGCACGACTAGGAAGAGAACCTGGGTCTTTTGGTTCCAAGACCTTTTTCAGTTAAATCACAAAACATCTGTATCACTGTAATAATCAAAACTTAAAAATAAACCACTTGGGTAAAAATCTTTCTATAATGGTTTACACAATTCCTATTTTTATATACAGAGTACAATTTAACCTTTTCTCTGTGATTCAAAGTCATTATGAAGATTAATGGTGTCAAGTCTACACATACTATAGAGTCTGTGAACGCTGATCTGACTTAGAGTGCAACACAGTGCTGGGGCTATGATCATTGTTTTCACAGATTTCTATGAATTTACTCTTTGCTCTTATCCCTTGTTGCTCTTAGGCCTCTGCTCCCAGTATCATCCCCTTCCCCCACTTTCTAATTCTAATTCTAAACTGATGTTTTCTAAAGTCTGTTCCCTAGAGTAATATGAAATGCAGACAAATGCACATAATATTTACTACAGCATTATTAATAACAAAAACAAAAAACATAAATGTCCAACATAGGACAATGGTTAGGGAGTAGTACTTTCAAAGAATAGAATATTATGTAGCCATTAAAATTATCATCACATGAAGAAGTTTGAATAAAAGAAAGAAGAGCTTATGTAATAATGTTGAGTGAAAAAAGTAGGATGTAAAATAGCTAGATATCAATAACATTTCAAAAGTGCTTAGAGTGAGGCCCCCATAACAAATGTTTACAATGACAGGATTACTGATAATTATTATTCTCTTATTATACGATTTTACTTATTTCTATTTGTTTCTGTAATAAAAGTGTAATACTCAATGTCAGAACAAGAATTTTTTAAAATATCACATTGGAAAATATACCCTACCTGGTAAGAATGACATAAAATGAAAATATATACATTTCAGATGAGAACCTAAAGCTTCCTTCCCTGACATGGTGTGGCTGCATGTGGCTTTTGCTTCCTTCCCATTTCTTTGCCAAATGTCAGGTTGCTGGATAGTTGAATTGTGGAAGAGTAAAACATCAAGCTATGTATATACTTAATGGGGAAGAGAGGAAACTGAGAGGGGAAGACAGAGAAGAGAGAGGAGGGAGAAAAGGTTTCTGAGCCAATGCTTTTAGACAAGTGTCTGAGGATTTTTCATTAACTGGTTTTTAGAAGCTTAGAAACTACAGATGGTGGCAACTGTCACGTAGGCTGATTCGTCCGTGGATGAGCATGAAAGACAAATTAACCTCTCTACAGGCAAAGAAGAATATCTTCTAATTAATAATTAACCACCTCCTAAAACTGGGAGAGTTGAATTAGGAATATGAATAAGTAAAAACTGGGGTAGCATGGAAAGAAGCTAAGCAGTTGAAACAAATGAATGTATAAGATGTTTCTACCTGAAGGTATTAGATACTAGTACCACTTTTCTATTTATTTCCTGATTCCTTTGTATTACGATAAACTATTTTTCTGTTAAATAGCAATAACTTTTCATAGTTTCTTCTCATTCTTTGAATGAAATCATTAACAGAGGGGTAGGGCATGAGAAAGCAGTTTTGATTTTACAACACACAGTGACATTCACTGATTCATACATACACATCCCCCACCAAATGTGTCACCTCATACAGAAATGACCAAGGGCAAACTGAGCTCAAAGTGGCTGATTTAACATAGATGTTGCCTGACTTCTCAAAGCTTCTGAAGATCATTTTTAAAAATTGGCCTCTGCCTCCCCAAACATGACATGCCAAGAAAAAAACTCTAAGAATACTTTAAACTGGTCTGAGGGATGGAAAGATCCACATCTGTTCTCATCCAGCATTAGTGGCATTTGTAATAAGATTTCTAAGGACTTCCTCAAATATGATAGGCTTTATTATCATAATAATCCTGTGAGATATTATTAGCCCAAATTTTCAGATGAAGAAACTGAGGCTCTAAGATGTTAATTTGCTAAAGATCACCATTAAGCTGGAGAAAAAGCCTGGAATTCAGGTCCTCTAACTCTCAATCCTATAATGATTTCCGCTGTTTCATGCTACAGAGTTTATTGATACATTAATTCTGTACCAAAGCATTTGCTCCCAAAGGCCATGTACAAGTATACCTCTGCAGATTCGTAGTCGCTCAACAACAGTGCAAGTGAGTGGAAAATTATCCTGAAGAAGGAAAATTTGAGTGGTGGGAGGTTGTAGTTGGTGCTCTTTTCCACCTTGGTGTCCACTTGGGCCCCTTCCTCACACAGACTGCATCTCTCTTATCTGCACACACCCACATTCATCATTTGTCCTTCAGGGTTTAAACCAATGTCCTCCCCTAAAGAACTAAACTCCAACAGCTTGTGAGTATTAGAGTGTATTTATTCCCAAATTCCTTGGGAATTTTTATCCAGAAGTCATACATGTGTTTTAGCTCTCCCACTAGACTCTGAACAAGATCTGTGTTTTCGACATTTCAGATTCCTTCCTGCCTTTTCAGTACTCTTCCCTCTTTCTTCCAACTGCCTAGTATATTACTGTGCATTCAACAAATGCCTGCTAAGTGAATGAGAACCTGCCTTAGTGCAGTGAAAGCCCAGGTTGATTTATAATAGGAGGTCAGAGTCCCAGCTCCACAGCTAAGTAACTGTGTTACTGCAGGCAAGTCTGTGGGTCTCAGTTTTCTCATCATAAAATGGTTATGGGGGCAGGAAGCAGATGAAGTATATGAATTCTATGACCTCTGAGATGCTATAAATATATAAATATTATTCTGATTGGGCTGATTATAGCCTTATTTTACCCCACTAAGGATGAAGAGATGAAGAGATGAATGAGAACTCCAAAGACAAGAATGTGAAAAACAAGGCAAATACAGAAGCCAAACAACTAACTACCCAGCAGGCAAGAGAAAGCCAATGTGTCTGGAAAATTAATAAAGTAAACGAGAATTAGAGAGAGCAGAGACATCTTGGGCAAAGCTAGAAATGTGGATCCTGTCTGAGAGGGATGCAAAGGCATTAGAAGGTAGAATATAAATGGGCCAGCTTAATAACTAAAAAATTACATTAGTGGTTAGGGATATGTAGTATAATCCTTGTATGTTTTTTAACGCGCTCTTCTATTTGCTACTTAAGCTTGCAATCAAATGTTAAGAACATCAGCACTGAAACTGCTTAGCTCAGGAGAAAGAAAATAAGATGAATATTAACAACTTCTTTATGGAAATAAAAACTGAAGGTCCTAGTATTAAAATAGGGATTGATGCTAGCAACATCTGAACACTAGAAATCTATTTTCCTGTACTTTTTTCTCCATTTTATTGGAGAGAGGGAGGGAGTATGACAATTTTAATCAGGATATTTCTCCTAAGTTTAATTTTATTAGAGATTTTAATAATTCAAAGTAATATTGCACTGGTTTCATTAAAATTGAGTTTTAGCTGACACACCAAGTATTAGATAAAAGTGGTGTTATAAGCAGGTCTGTCTATGCCTTCAATAATAAGCTCCCTTGGATAGAATGAACTTATGGAAGACACTTATTGAAGTACCTGGTGTGGTATGAGGAGCTAGGATTCATATGAGAAGCTAAAGTAAAAGAAAATCAAAAGTTCAGCTTGAAACTTTTAGGGGGAAAAATGGCACCTCTTTAGAAAAGAAATTCTCTGAAATTAAAAAATAATACTTGAAGCAAATAACGGTTAGTTCTTAGATTATTGGATGTAAAAGTTTTCAGCTGGTATCTGAAATTGAAGTGACACTTTAAAAGATTAAATCAGTAAGAGTACATGATTGATAAAAGGCCAGAAAATTCCATTTTAAAAAGAGCAAAAATTTAAAAGGCATTTGATGTTTAACGGACATTTTTAGGAACCTTCTGATGAAATTTTTGATACTAAAACTGCAGAGGAGAAACTCACCGTTAATCCATGCTATATAACTTTGGGTCCAGTTTGCCCTTCATCTCCTACCTCAGCAAAGAGCCTAAATTTAACCAGTCTATAAAGAAATTTCTGCAGGGAGAAAAAATTGTGTGACTATGTGTGTATGAAAGATAAACATACCTGCTTCATCATACGATACAGTCAATTTTTCTAGCATTTCTCGGTCAATGGACAGAATCTGCTGTTCAAGAATTGTCTGATAAGACAATACGCTATTTTCTTTGTCTTTCTCGTAGTCCTGTAGATGCTGTTTAAGGGCCTCTGGGAGTCGAGATTTTACATATTCAGCTGCAGTCTGCAAACAAAACAGGTAAAGAACCCCATTAGTATTTCTCATTTTAGGCTTTCAACTTTGCCTTAGGTGCTGCAGTGAGAACTCAGAGCACTGTGGAGCCGGCCCTTTAGAAAGCATATCTTTGTCATTGTCACTTTTAATCTCCACTGTACCAAGTAAGGTGGATCTTCAAATATGCAGAATCACAGACCTCTAAGAGTTTTCTACCAGGTTGAAAGGTATAAAAGATGATGGATTTAGTTTACCATTCATGGAGTTAGTACTCGAAGTTTCAACAACTATTGCACTGAACTCTAAAGGCCCCACCATAGTAATTTCACTGGATATAAACATGACTGCCCTTGGCTAGAATGCAGAAGCCAGTCACTCATCTCAGCAGTAAGCCCGCCTGTGCTGTGGCATCATACCTCTAGTCTGTTTTGTTGTTTTCTACTCAGTGCTTACACAGGAACTCTTGTGAAGTCAAGAGAAAGAAGAGCCCCCTGCACGAACTGATAATGAAATAATGGGATAAAGAGAAAAAGAAAACATCTAAGACAATGATCCTTTAACCAGAAAAAAAGAACTGTTCACTGCTTAAATGTCTCGGCCTTCATATAAACATATGCTTAACTTGTTTTTTTCTGCTTCTACACTACCGCACAATGCACTCCCAACTAGTGACATGAAATTACATCCAGTGATTTTCAGCCAGGTAAGCATGCTTCCCTTGGAGGTAGAAAGAAAAGATGTATACTTTGACAAAGACCTTCCCAAAGATTCTAATATACTCTTCTAGTGGGCTGGGGAAAGAGCATCTCTTCTCCCTTCCAGCTGAGAATCACAGTTAAATAGAACTTTAAGGAAGAAATTAAGTGAAAGTCGCATATATGAATCAGGGAAATTGAAATTCTTATAATTTATCTCTTAAGAATGCCAAGAGTTTGGCATCTCCTTGCTGTGCATAGGGTCTGAAATTGATAAGATAAATGCAGGCATACATATATTGTTTATAATTATACTCAGGATCACTAGAAACCAAAATAAAAGAATCCGCTAAAAAAGAATTGTCTCTGGGGTATGGACCTAGAATAAGGAAAGACATATCTATATCGTTTAATATATTTTTAAATTCTTCTGTAATTTAAAAAAGTTATCTTTAAAATAGGGTTTTTGTAACCTTCATAGTTTTCCTTTTAAATGTTGCACAATTTAGGATGAAGAAAAACTTGCCAGAACAAACAACTGACTTCCCAGGAAAAGTTCACCGGAAACTTATTTTCAGTCTTCAGAGTAGCCAAGTATAGCACACAGCACTTTTTATTTGCAGTTTTATATTTATATCCCCTAAGTCAGCTGCTGATGAAATTACAACTTTAAAATATCACCAAACATTGTTCAGTTTATCTGCCAGCCACCTAGTGCAGAACAAATAAAGTTATTCCATAAAATGCAAATGGACTCAGCACGTTAGCACAACATATTTAATTCTAGAGTTTAATGACAATTTTCTCCTGACACTGGAATGAAGAGGCACACTGCAGAATAACTATTTTTAAATTCATATTGCCTTGCTATTCAGTGTAGCATCTGTCTTTTTCCCCTTAGAAATATCTATGAGGCACAGGAAATAATTCTATAATGCACATTTTACAAATACTGGTTTGCTCTGTATTACTGAAAGCATACCACACTTCCTTCCAATTGTGTCCACTGAGCTAGTTTTCTAAAATTATGATACTGATCTTTAAACAGGACCTATATTTTTTACTATATTGAAGTTATATTTTGGCGTTTCATTTCTAACATAATATAACTTCATATATAGAGTTCTTTCCATTGGGAAAGATTCTTAGGAGGAACAGAAAGAAATAATTCTAGCAAAATACTAGATTCTGTCAAGATATCTCAAGAAATCACCCTAACTGAGGTAATGCTCTAAATGTATTCAAATGGCAGTTAAAACCTTATGCTCGAGCACACACCTATGCTTAAAACCAGGCTGTCGTACAAATACCGTATGATCTCACGGAATCTAAAAAAAGACGAAGGAAACAGAAAAACAAACCAGAAACAGAACTCATAGATACAGAGAACAGACGGGCGGTTGCCAGAGGATGTGTGTGTAGGAGGGGGGAAGGTTGCAAAATGGGTGAAGCTGATCAAAAGGCACAAACTTCCAGGTATAAAATAAATAAGCCTGAAGATACAATGTACAGGATGGTGGCTATAGTTAATACTACTGTACTGTATAGTTAAAAGTTGCTAAGAGAGCAGATATTAAAAGTTCTTATCACACACACAAAATGTAACTATCTGTGGTTAATAGATGTTAACTAGATTTATTGTAATCGTTTTGCTATAAAAAAATATTTAATCATTATGTTGTACACCTCAAACTAATATGTCAATTATATCTCAATTAGAAAAACAGACTGTCATATTATTAACTGAGGTTGGAATTATTGAACAAATAATATACAAAGAGTGATTTAAAATTTAAAATTTCAGTGGAATTAAAAAATAAACTAAAAATCAACATTAAAAATATAGGATTACTTATCCATTCTTTAATCAGTGATAAGAGCTACTGGAAGTTTAAATGCTAAATTGCACATTCCTATAAACCTAATGACTCCAGAAACAATAATACAGGGTGGGGCAAAAGTAGGTTTACAGTTAGGAGTACATGAAACACAGTTTTTTCTTGTATTATCTATTAATTATTGTACGTTTTTCCATACGAATGACTGTTTCATGTACTCCTAACTGTAAACCTACTTTTGCCCCACCCTGTGCTCTCACCATTATCAGCATCTTGCATTTCTGCAGTACTTTATACTCTTCTGGGCAATGCATATTGGTATCATTCTGTATCTTCACAATAACTTTTAGTGAAAGTAGACAAATTATTGGTTTTGGCCAATCCTTCACATCCTGCAAAGTTTGACTCAAATGCTATAAACTCTGTTAGTAAACCCCCATAAGAGCAGCACATGAGCTTTCAAGTACTTATACAGGTATCTGTACACGTATAGGTATTTTAGCTCCCCAGTTTGGCTGAAATAAGGGCTGCATCTTACACATCTTTGTGTTCCCTCAGCATCAGGTTTGGTGCTTTGCACCAAAGCAGCTTGTATCTTGACCCTATCCAAGAATCAGGGACTTGGAGACAGCCTTTGGAGAAAACTTTTGGACAGTTCATAACTATTTGTCTGCAATCGGAACCTCTTCTCATGATTCCGGATAGATCCTAAGAGTCTAGTTTTCTACTGCAAGTGGAACACTTGGTCTCTAATTATCATTGATGCCATTATTTTAGGAAAGTTAACAGCTGAAACCCAAATCATTTACATGCCAAAATGGTAAAAGACCTAGTATGTAACATACAAAGCTGTGTGTGAAGCTTTAATGACTTCCTTTCCATAACTGTTTGATCTCCATTCCTACCTTTATTTCTTCACTTGGCAACAGGCTTGATTCTGCTAGGGGCCCTCTGGGGAGTCATGTAGAATACCTCAGAATTGTGCGCCTGAGTTAAGGGTTGCCTTGCGGGTGTTAATTCCGCCCCCCGGAGTGTTCAGGTTTGTGTTTTTCTGAACTGCTGAGTAGGTTCCCCAAACAAACCCCAGGGGGTGACAAAGAAGCCTCAGGGCAGAAAGTGAAAGATGCATAGTTTACAGGTTCCTCTGATTATACCTGAGAAGATGGTTAACAGCTGGAATAAAAAGATGAGCTAGACGCTTGTGAGGTAAGGCACAAAAGGTGTCCAATGCACCTTCTTACCAAATGTGTATACATTTATATTATCCGCGCCAACTTCAGTCTGGAAGAGAGTAAAGAAGCAGAATGACTGAGGATCTAAATTCTGGGAACCTAGTAGGTAGAATGCCGACACTGATCATTATGCTACAAAAACTATTTACTGTACAGCGGTATGTTCTTTAAGAAATAACCAATGTATGTCAAAGAATCTGGCCAGCTGGAGTGCAAAGCATAATTTAAAAGCTGCTAAATGCTTCATAATTCATCTTTAAAAAGAAAACCTGTCAGCCGTCCAATTCCAATTTGAGTGTCTGCTGAGTAAAGCACGTTAGACTTGACACTGTTGGGAGAACAAACCTTTGCCACAAAGGAAGCTGCAATTTTAATGTGCAAACAACACACACACATTAAGTACTAGAAAAATACATTTTCCAAAGCAATACAAAAACAGGCATGCATCTTGAGATGAATTAGCATATTTATTTAATATATGAGCTCTGGTAAGTGCTGACCAGCCTCTAGGGAGAGAAATCAAGGAGAAGGGACAAGAAAAAGAACCAGGAAATCATTCCAGGGGAGTTTAAAGATCAGTAAGAGGTACTTGCTGGAGGAAGGAAATGCAATCTAGAGAAGAGTAAATATGAGTTCAGGGGGAGATATAATAAGAAATGAAGCTGACAAGACTAGGAATAGGAGAGAGCTGGCAGTTGGAGAAGTCTTACCTCCCTGTTACCAGGGAGTTTTGACTTGTAGCAGTAACAGGAAACTGAAACATATTAAAGAACGAAATAAATGATCAAATATTGTTTGAAGAAAAATGTGCTTCGAGCTGAGTTTAAAATGCACTCAATAGCATGAGATTAAAGTACAGAGAAAAGTGAAAAATCTGAAGGAAAGGAAAACTGGCCTTCTACACTGTGATTAGACTATACATTAGACAAAGAAAGTGAAAAAAGGTGACCAAAAACTTTAAAATAGTTTATACCTTTTACCTAGCAAATGTCTTTCTAGGAATTTATTTTAAGAAAAAGTTAAAGGTAAGCATTAAAGAGTTGTGTGCCAATATGTTTATCAAAATATTATTCATGATAATAAAAATTTGTCTGGAAACTGGGTGATTAAATTATGGGATGTCCATGCAATAGAAAGCAATGCAGCTATTTAAAATCATGTTATGGTATGTCAACTATAATTTTAAAATAAATTTTAAAAATTCATCAAGAAAAAATTATATTATGAAAAAGTACCTAAAATAT